CGAGTCGAATTATTCTTACTCTTATTATGCTTAATACTCATGTATGAATATTCGCACTCTTATTAATATTTAAGTATGTAAATTAATGTTAGTATTAGTTCTTACTAACATTTATTTCCAGATTGATAATATTCCTACGAATAAGTATTTTCGTATTCATCTCAATACTAATCTAAATACTAGTATTAAAAAATATTCCTAATAGTTACACGAATACTGCTTTTAAACATGAACACTAATACTCTCACGAATACTTANNTTATACACATAGTAATGTTAATACTGCGAATATCTGTGTTCCTACGAATACTACTACTCATATTCATATTACCAGAAATATGAATACCAATATACATACTGATGCTAGTACTATTTCTCTTAATACTTATATCAAAAACGAATAGTACTGTGAATACTCAAACCATATACATACTAAAACCCTAAACCCTAAACCCTAAACCCTAAACCCTAAACCCTAAACCCCGCAATGCCCAGGCATGCGCCCGTGGCAACAGCAGTGGGTGAGTCTGGTGGAATCCGCATGCAGGACGCTGCGAATGCCTATGTGCAGCGTGTGCGTGTTCGTGTGTTCATTTGTGTTGTTGAGCCGCAGCCATGGCTCCCAGGACGGCGCTGGACAGCGACTACAAGGATTACCTTCCAGGGATTCGAGGGCTCCATGATCCCAGCAGAGTGCTAGCGGCGGTGGCTTGAGGAGATGGCGCTGGTGGGAAGCTTGGCTTTGGCTCTGGAGACTCCCGGGAGCGATGTGGACCTCGTGCGCTTGTCCCAGACTTCGGATTGGAATCGGAACCCTGCGATCTGTGAGGCCCTGCCCTTTGCCTTTGCCGAGGTGCGTTACCCACTCGCCCGCACATCAAGTAGATGCAGTGGCTGTTCTGAAGAAGGCCGGATAATTACATCCGACGGCGGGTTTCCTTTTGTGCATCGGGAGCGCCGTCCCTGATCAGGTCCGGGACATACTCGTTTCCGACAGCAACCTGGCTGCACAAAGAAGCAGAGTGCTGGCTCTTCGGCTTGTGTACTCCCAGTAAAGGAATGAAATTCCTCAGGTCACTGCTCCGGATTCCCTGATGGCTACACCGTGCTAGCGAGCGTCCCAGCGATGCTTTTGCGTGTGCAGAAGAAATCCAGCGTAGAAAATTGCTTGCCTTGCGCCTTTCTGCGCCTTTTGCTACACATTTTTCAGGTCATTGACGATGCCCGAATACCCATTCTGTCTGTGACGACGGGCAGCCAGGTCCTGGTGCCTTGGTGAGTCATAGTCCAGAGTGCAGCACTACCCCGATTCTTCCAGAAAATCTTTAGTTACTTTAGTTCTTTTCGCTAAGGTCGATCTGGCCTTGAACTCGCACCACTCCATCCAGCATGCAACTTCTCAGCATGGCTTGTCTCGTTCCGAGCAGCATTGCAGAGTGTTCTTCTCGCGGCGACCGGAATCCGTCACGAGCGCCACAGGTAAGCTGGTTTCGGAATGTCGGTGCCGTGCCTCCGAATCCTCCGACTGCAGCCTGGCCGCAATCGTTGGGCGGCTTGGAGGTGCCGTTGTGTGTGGAAAAGGTGCTGCAGGTCCCAGTGCTGACTGTGACGCTGCGCTGCCTGAAATGGTGGTTGAGGACTGCGGCCCAAACACAGCAGATCTGAGCAGCTGATAACGAGTGCTTCTCTCGAGGATGAGACGAATTCCCCGCATGAAAGATGGCTCGCTGCCAACAGTGGCATGGATGCTGCTGGCAATGCATGTTTGCGCGGAGCAAAGTGGCTTCTCGGCTGCAGTCAGGTTCCATTCTGTAGTGCAGTCCCACCGTGCTTGAACATGTTTGGCAAGGATCTTTCTCACCGGAGCTCCTTTCAGAGAATCCACTGGCGGCGGTACTTGCGCTCCTGAGTCGCTAGCTGGCACCGATAGAGCTCAGAGATCTTCAGTGCGTGTTCCAGCCATTTGGAGACGGTTTCGACTATAGGCAAGGACCTAGACTCGTCTAAATCGCGCATACGGCCAGGTGCCTTCTTCCAGAGATACACGACGGTCAGCGGTCTCGACGGGAAGCTGCAGTTTGAGAGCCTTGCCCGGCAGTCCTTTTCGTCATATGTGAGTATATGGGAACACTGACCCTGGAGTGTGACAGGAAAGGCTCTGCTGTCTCAAGCTTTCAGCAGAGCTTCCAGAAGCGGCCCTGCCATGCTGATCTAGTAATCCTCGATCCAGAATCAGGCGGGGGCTGTCCGTGCACTTGTACTTCGAGCTACGTAAACGGAGGCTTCACGCCGCGGCCGTCTGCATCGTCGTTGATAGTTGATTATCATGTCTCTTAACTTCTGCGTTCACGTCGTTGTTTGGTGCTAACAGAGACTCCTACTGCCACCCCAGCGTGCTCCAATGTCTGACAAGTTTTCTCCACTTACCAATATGGCCGGAGCAACTTCAATATGCATCTCGACGAGAACCAGCCTTCAAAGCAAATTGGAACAGATCAGATGGTCGCGACTCCTTGCAGATACGCGCTTGCGAGTGAAAGGGTTGCAATCATGACAAGGAACAGCCCAAAACTTGGAACATCGCAACTCACAGCAGACATGTGTCTGCGAACGAACTCGTTAGACACCTGCAAGAATGCAACTTCTCGACCACAGGCCAATGAATGCATTCAAGCATCCCATGCAAGCACTGAAACTAGTCTGTACCTGCCAGTGCCCCCAAGCCGAAACCTTTTGATTCTTGCGACATTTGAGGCCTACCAGGCAGAGATGATGTGAATAATCCGGTCTTTGCAGCAGATTGTCGTCAAAGCAGTAGTTTCTGCAGGCTTTGTCGCGTCTCGTCTCGTGCCCCTGCGAAGATGTGAACTTGGCACCGCCGATGTCGCCGGCAACACATATTCTGCTGGTGCACGAGCTACTTCGTGCAAGGCGGGACTCGCAAGAGAACATGCTCAGAAGGGTAGCCTTGCATGGCCTTGAGTCGTAGAACGCCCAGCCTGGCCTGAGTCGACATGCATGGCCACGGCGAGCGAAAACTGCAGCAGGTCTCTTTTGAAGAGTGTGATGAGTACCGGACAGTGCCAGCATCTTCACTCGGTTTTTCAGCCGGTGCTGCTGGCTTGGTCTTGATCGTCGAGTGGGCGCCGAAGAGGCTTTTGGCAGTGCCTGCTAGCATCCAGGTGCCAGAGTTTGTAAACTCACTCCCTGCCTCCGCTTCCGACAGTTTTGATGCGCTGGCTGGCCTCTCAGACTGGGCAATTCAACTTCGGTTTGCGTCAAGCTGCACTGACTGAGGTGTTCCTGGGTGGGAATGGGGACAGTTCATGTACAGTGGCCCGGATGCAAACTTGACACTGCTTGACCCGAGCGTCGTCGATGTGACAATGTCAGGTTGAGCTCGTCCGCATTCACAGCATCCGCAAGATGCCCTGGTGGCAAGCTCCTTTCCTAGCTCGCTGGGACATGCAGAGCCACCTGGATGTCCCTTGGCTAGCAGATCTCGTCGGAGAGGTCTCGCAGAACAGAGACTCACACTGAGGCACACATTTTCTGCGAGCAGCAAGTAGCTGGCCGTTGCACCTTTATCCAGACGAAGGCATCCATGGCATGTGAGTTTTGTGTAGCAGCCCTTGTGACAAGTAGCTCCATGCCTTTGCAGGCCATCACCTTATCCCCCTGGAATTTCATCTGTCGAAACCTATCTGCAAGCATATCCCTCTCAGCAAAAGGCTCAACCCCTCATCGCTCCACACGAGGTGTGGAAACAACCGGTGATGAGCAGAAGGGGTTGATTCTGGATGACGAGGCCGAGGGTCTAGCAGGGTCTAGGGCAGTCGTGTGGTATGCGAAGCCACACCGCTGAGGCCCTGCATTGCATGAAGAGTATGAAGGCGCTGGCATCTGAAATGCAGGGCTGGGCTGCGATCAAAAGCCGGTGACCTGTTCGAAGGATTGGGAAGTTCAAGAGTCCCATTGTCGGTAGTCCTATCGGTTCAAGTTGTCTGACCGAGAACTTCTCCATCCCCTGGTGACTCCTCCGAAGATGTATAGATCCGGCTTGGATTCGGTGAGAATCTTGCCCCATGAGGATTGCCGGTAGCACACCTACGACGCTTAAGGCGCACAAACGTGCCTCCATTGTCGACGCGAGTGCTAATGCATGTGGAATTAGGAGATCATTCGACGCTGCGCAAGAGGAGCACTTACTGAGTCACTAGCTGGCGTGAGGTGTAGGCTAAAGTGCAGCTGTTAGTGGTGATGTGCGAGCCAAGATACATCCCATCCTCTTGCACCCGACAAAGTGCTTTCAAGGAAAAGCAGCGATCCTTGCAATACTTTAAAAAACTATCAACATTCTGTGGGCCATGATGTAAATGCTGCCCCTGTTGTGTTCGGTCAGCCATAACTTGCAAACGTTGATTGTGGGGCCCCCCCTTGGTTTGAGACATGTTGAGCAACGCCTCAGCCGACAGCATGCTTCTAACAGCATGTGCTTCGCGAGCTGTGGAGCTGGGGCTTCGAGGCTTCGGAAATCCGTCGCGGAATTCCCACACCAGTGCACCGGCGAATCAGAACTGATAGCCGGAAGCTGCCTGGAGGTTGCCGGTGTGTAAGTTTGAGACGGCTCCGAGAGGTGGAATGAGGTCGTGGACAATTTACAGGTTTGCCGACCAAGGTGAAGGACAGCTGTTTCCAGCCTCTCTGAGATGCTACTAAGCCAGGCGTATTCAGGGCAGGAGGATTGCCCGAAACGCTGCTGCGCAAGGTAGGCCCCATCCCTCTGCGGTTGCAATGATCAACTTGCTGAGGGCCGCCCGTGGCCGGCAAGTGTCAGCACCAGCAGGCATATGATGTTCTGTTGTAGCTAGCAGGACAGGTAGGGGTAGCATGTACCAGCAGAGTTTGATTATTGTTTCTGTGGTTCATGTGGTGTTGAAACTGTACAGCCGGCCCGGGATGTACCGTATTAATTTGGAGTTGATAGACTCCTTCAGTGATCCAGTGCTGGTGACGGTAGCATGCCACCGCAGGCAGGTCAGTTGCTAGCGTCAGGGCATTTCGATCACGTCCGGCAGCACGGATGCAGCTTTAGGATCGGCTTCGCAGTTCTACGGCACGATGAGAGGTCATCTCAAGCTGCTTTGTAGTTGGAAGCTCTTCCGAGCTGCATCTGCGGATGTCATGCTTCCCTGATAAACAAGGTGCTGCCTAAGCCTTGTGAGACACATGTTTTGTGTTCGGCTTTCATGGCCGCCCTGCGTGCACTTGCGTGTTTTTTTCTGGAGCTTCTGTCATGCTTTTCGAGGGTTGCCTCTTGATTTCTGCGCCCAACTGTCTGGCCGAGGGGCTGGGGTTCGTGACAGACCTTGAAATCACTCGCATTGCAAAAACGTGCGAGACGCAGCAGCTCGGGGCAGAGCACAGAGAACGTCCTGAGGCTTTTGCTTCGCCGAATACGATGAGGTTGTGTAGGAACGTGGGGTCTGCTTGAACGAACGTGCTCAAGGCGATGAAGCCGTTGTGCCAGATTACCGAAGGTCTCCATGCAATCAAGAACGAGAAAGTCAGGTGGTCAGCTAGAGAAATGCTACTCCAAGTCCTGTCTGCTGAACTGATTTCATCTGCTCGCAAAGTTCAAAGCCCTCTGACTAGCATTCAAAGCCCCGTGACTAGCGGGTAGCGCATGAAATATGTACGCGTGGGACGTGAGAAAGGGCTGCAGCACCGCCACTTGCCATCAGCATCCTTGCATGCGCCCCGTCAGCCTGCTGACGCCTTTGCTTGTACAGCTCTATGCGGCGGAGAAGGAGTGAAGCATTCAGTGGCGGTGTTTGCCGGTGGCTATGTGCAACTGCATTTTGCGTGCACCCCTCGAAGCCACAGCGCCCTGCAATTGGTCCATCGTGCAGGAGATCCTGCTTGACAAAACCCTAGCTGTTCTACCTCATACAGTGCTTCGGCCACATGGTTCTGGAGCAAAGGCGAAGGTCATGACGAACGGCTTGCTGCGTAGTTTGCCATGACGTGCGCACGCGGTCGCTCAGTCCTGCGTCGTACGGTTGAAACACGCATCATGTAGCACGCCGGCATTTTGCGTTTGATGGGATTCCGGTCAGTGAGAACAAAGTTTGCCATGGAAGTGACTTCCGCCGTTTTGCCGGATTACGCCACCCACATCATCCAAGGATGTCTAATTCAGCACCGTCACAGCAAGGTTGTAGCACCTATAGGCCTCTGCAGAGTAATCGGAACGACATTCGAAAGTGCTCGCCCGCTCGTCTGCACAGCGAAGCGTTGCAAGAATCTCCAGGGCTCCCTCGCGAGTGTTCTTCCAGCCAGCAACATGAGAAGGTCCGTTTCCGCATCATGCAGAAGAAATGACCGTAGTCACCGTGCGCCTGTAAAACTTCCAAAGTGTAGGACCAGGAGCTTCCGAAAGCAATCCTCGCTTATTGTGGAACCGGGTTTCGAGATGTTGAGGCTCTGGAACTTGGCCGGTGGCGCGCGAAGCTGGAGAGTTCCGGCTCGTATCTCACGTTGGGAAAAGCGTGCAAAGGGACTCCGACAATGCTGTTGCTTTGCAACTGCTTTGCAACATTTTGCAACCTAAGGTGTCGTGCAGGACCCTGAATGTGAGACGGATGCGGAGTGCGGGATGCAGCGATGCTCTGCCGCAAGACGCAATGCTCCGTGAAGTTTTGGCTCCCGGCCAATTGGCGTTGGCTGTGAGCTGCTGACTGAGGCCCAGAATGCAAGAATTCACAGTGCCAGGACCGAAGCTGTAATGTGGTCACTTCAGGCTTTCCTGTGAATTTTTCTCTAGTGCAGGATCTACGAGAATTCAACGCGTCCGTGGGCGAGTGTATCTGCGAAAGCCACAAAGACTGCGGACGTGAGGCCAGGGTCTGAATCGTGAATGGCGTGTTGTTTGTCGTGCAGCGATTTTTCGGCTGAGATTTTGTCAGGAGATGGCCCCACCAGAGGACACCTCTCTCACGGGCTGTGCCCAGATTTGTGAAGAGAAGCCTGAGTGCCAAGCTTTCGAAGGGCAACTTGGTTGAGACTGCCTGTGGAGGCTGGTTGGTGTCGGTGAGCTTTCAAATCCGATAGATTTCTGTAAAGCCGAGGTATTACCACCGCTCAGGCAGTTTCGTCTGCAAACTGCTCAGGAGTTTTTGGGCACTTATCCAAAATTGCTTTTGCTTGGCGGTTCATCGAACCTAGGGGTTTAGGGACGTCTTTGAGTTTGGTATCACATGGCGCCTTTTGCCAGGACTCGCCAGAATCAGGAAAGCGGAGCACCCGCAACTTTGACAGGCAACGGCAGACGCCGCTTGGCGAGAATTCGACATATTGTCTACTAAGAGTCGTCCTTGTCATTGTCTCAGTGAGATGAGTCGCGGTCTGGAAGGCATGGGATCCTACGACGTGTTCTGCTACAACAAGCCAGATATAGAAAGTCTCTGTGGCCGCCATGTCGGATGCCTTGCAACGCCAGGCAGCGTGTTTTCTCGGGGTGTCGAAGGATCGCTCGTTTCATTTGTGACATGCCAGCTCGCTGGAGATGTGACTGGGCATGCGACAACATCGACAACTGAACTGGACAAGTTCTTGCAGCTTTGGTGCCTTACTCCTCGTGAGTTGCAGGTCACTTCTGCTGTCCCGACCGTCGTGGCGTGTTCTGTCAGCACGAAGTATCTGTCGGTTGGACTTACCTAAATTGCTTGTCACAGTTCTGAGTTCTGAAACCCAGGGGCTTCAGGCTTTGTAGTCTCAGTGACTCAGTCAGTGCAGCTGCCCAAGTCAGACGCTTAAAGTAAGTGGTGTTGCAGAGAAATCGCTCACAACTCCGGTTCGAAAGTAGTCGATGCCGATTGATGCCAAGATCTTTTGCATCATCAGTTAACAGCTGTGTGGAGGAGCTGCTTCTTTGCTGCTCGACGCCATCTGCTCCCCTGCCGCAAGTCCTGTCTTTTCATGAGAGCGCTTGCATATTATGTTTGCGTAGCCTACTACTGTAGATCACCATCACCCCGAACGAGCGGAGGTGGGATTGTTCGGCAGCTTCTGCACGGCCATTCTGGCGTTGTGACCTGCATGAAGTGGAGACGTCTGACTTCCACACCGTGGTGTGGCAAGTTTCACATCGTGCCTTTGCAAGTCCAACGGATGCTTTCCTTCAAGGTTGTTGGCCTGCTCTTTGTGGCTTAACTGCATTGACGCCTCCCGACCGAAGTCTCCTCACCGCACAGACCTGCAGGTTCTTCAACTGCAGAACCTGGGGCCCTCTGGCTGCAGCATGCGGTCTAATGCGGCATTGTGGCATCGCGGCACCGCATCTCCACTGTCAGCAGGAAGCCACAGTGCCGCAGAGAGCTTGCCAGCCCGCTGGCATCGAGCTGTAGCAACTATGCGATGTGAAGTTGGGCCGAGGCAAGCCAGCCATCGCCACTCCAGCAAACGATGTTCCAGGCAGCACCGATGTCAGCTTCCCAACTCCTGTACGAGGCCGCAGGGTTGACTCTTGCCACTTACGTCCTGCTTCTGCGAAATGCGAGGCCACCAGATCTCGTTGCTCGAATACAACGATCTGCAATCCTCCCTGGCCGCTTGCACAACTTTGGATCATATGATCATTTTCGACTGTTTTGCTTTGCATATGAGCCGGAGACTGATGCAAGGGCGAAGCAGGCCGCTACCTCATCGCTTTTGTGAATCCAGGATGGGAGTCAGTGCATTTCCAGCACTCTCTCCATCCGCGCGTTGAATCCTTTCTGCAGGCTCTGGGGATCAGAGTGGCAAGCGCTTCGAGAGACTCTTCGAAGCGCTCCTGGCCCAGAACGGGAAGATCTGCAAACTTCCAAACGATCTAGGATCTGGACTGAAGCTTGCGGCAGATCTGCTGCGGGAGGGCCGCGATGTTGCTATCTTGGCCTGTGGTGGGGACGGCACTGTGACCTGGGTGCTCTCTGAGTTGAATGACAGACGAGAAGCATTGTTCAAGAACATCAGGCTGCCGCCCGTTGGAATCGTCCCTCTCGGTACAGGGAATGATCTGGCCCGGTCTCTTGGTTGGGGCCCTGCACTCACAGACAACTTTCAGTTGCTGTCCTATGTTCAGCGTGCTATGAAGGCCGAGACCGTTCTGCTTGATCAGTGGCGGCTCACCCTGAGACCTTCCCATCTTCTGCCGCCATCTCTTCGTCAACGTGGGACCGTGGAGTTCATTGGATACTTTACTAATTACTTCTCGGTTGGGATGGACGCCCACACTGCTTACGAAGTTGGGAGAGTGCGGTCGTCGGGTTTCGGTAAGTGTTGCTTTCGGATGCGCTGCTTCCCACCGTGCCGATTTCTTCATGGCGGTCTGCTATGTTATGCACTCAATGGGCCGAACTGCGCAAGATGTTTGTGCTGTCGTACCCGTGCTCTCAACGACGACCTTGAAGTCAGATTTGATGATGACCCGGGAACGGTTACGTTTCCGAGCTCCATCCGTCAATTCACTCTCACGAACTTGAATTCCTATGGATGCTCGCATGCAAGCAGAGTGGGTTTCACGAAATCCGATTCATGAAGCAGCGTGGGTGTTATCCATGTTCTTCGCTGGACCAGGTGCAGGCATGCTACTGTACGGCAGCGAGGCCGTGCGAAGACAGGCAGCGGAGGGTAGATGTCTTGCAGTTGCAGTTGAGAAGAGTGCTTGTCTTCAGTGTTTTTTGATCTGCGGACCAGGTAAGCCCGAATGATGGGAGGCTGGAGGTTTTCACCAGACAAGGTCCCTACGGAGTCCCTCGCCTACTTGTGTGTACCGGGGGCTAGCAATTCCCCTTGTCAGCCTCCGAGGTAATTGGCATGACCCTGACCAAGAAGGTCCTGAAGGCCCCATGTGGCAATGTGGATATCGCCTTTCAGCCACACCGTGTGGAAATGCGCCTGAAGAAAGGACACCTTGGTAAGTTGCATGCGCTGCAGCTTGCATTCTCCCCCGCACAGAGCCTTAAGCTTGGCTGCAGGACAGCACTTCCAGATGGATGGGGAACCCTGGGTCCTGAATGCTGCTTGCACGGCCGTAATTGAAAGGTTCCCTGGCTTTTGTAAGGCGAAGGCCCGCGCTAGATCAGCACAACATGTGTGGCGTCTGTTTTCTGCGTGACCGACTGCAGAAAGAGTTGATGTGAGACAGGTCAACCTTCGATGCAAGAGACTGAAGCCCTTCTCCCTTCACTGGGCGCTGCCGTGCTGAGGCATACCAAAGTGCGTATGCTTTGCCCATGTGAGGATGGTCCTGGAGCAGGCCGGAGCTGCTTGCACAGAGCTTCACCCGTGGCCGCTCATCCGTGGAGGTGTTTGGTCAGGTTGCCAGAAAAGGCAGTTCTGGCATTCTCGCCGTCAAGGCTCGAAGTGCAGTTTGCCGCCGCACTTTCGGGGATGTTTGCTCGAAATTGCAGCAACAGGTTCTGCTGCTTCTTCAGCAGCTTCAGCAGGCGAACAGGAGCTCTGTGCCTCCCTGGCTTCTCGACCGAGCACCCAGACGTGACTGCATGCAAGTGACGGGCATGAAATGAGACAGAGACTTTGTCGATCTCTTGTCACCTTCACCTTGTGTAATCGGGTAATCATGCTTCGTGCACATTTTGCGCCAAGTGGCTGATTGGCTCAAGTGATGTTTCCACTATCCAGCGGATCATGCAGATCATGGAGCCTGGGTCGTGAAAGCCCTGTGTCACACTAGCCACAAAAGGTCAAGACCAGATGGGGACTGATCATGTGTTAGACAAGCCGAGCAGGAATCAGAATTTAGCACCAGACCGCGAAATGATTCATGTTAGTATGTGTTGATCTTGCATCCAACCTTGCTGCGGTGCCCAGCTCAGCCCATGACATATCTGAGATTAGAGCAGAAGGGATGCCACGTTTGTGCAAGGATGGCTGAGATGGACGAGTGCAATGGGCGATGGGAGGTCCCAGCTTGCAAGCTGCTTTCCTTTGCACTAGTCGCGTGGAGCTTGCACTTGCTCTGCCCCGCCTTTCAAGGCTTGGCCAGCTTTAGGCAGTTGAGAAGAGTTGAGCCCTTTTAAGGAGGAGTCACTGCATGTCCCTGCCATGACTGAAGCGGGATCGCCAGCAGCGTTGCTGGACGCGGTGACTTCTTTGCGAAGCTCCTTCGCTCGACTGGAACTTCGAGGTCAGGCGCTGGCCCAGTCCCGCAGGCGTCTGCGGGACCGAGGCGTGGAGCGAGCCCTTTCCAAGCCAGCCCAGGCTCACGCGGAGGACCGGACCCTACTGTAGGGCATCCTACCAGTAGGCAGCTTGCGCTGTGTTTCGGCAGTCTGCGTGTGCGGAAAGGACCTGAGGCTTGCGCTGATTGCTTCCTTGACGAAGTGGCAGAGTGGGCCTGGGCTTCAGTTGACGTTTTGGGAGAAGGAGGAGCCAGACGATCTGCTGGATGTGGGAAGACGACGCCGGAGTTCCCTAGCCAGCGTCTCAAGCCTGCAACGCGTGGCTACGACAGGCTGCATTCGAGAGCCAAGAGCAAGGCTCGCGTGGAATTCGTCAGATGTTTCGATGGACTCTGATGAAAGCAGTCTAGATGGCTCGAGACAGCCAATCCAAGACTTACCGCACACCTTGGCAAGAAAGCAGACTGCCAAGAAAGGGTCGATGTCCATGCGACCTTTCTCTGCTGTTAACACCAGACACATGCAGAAAGTTCGAAAGCAGTATACCATGCTTGAAATTCCTCCAAACGTGCCGGCCTCTGTGGAAGTTTGATGTCCTTAAACTAGCAGACTCTAAGAGTCTTACGCGACTCGTGAAAAGACTGCTGCATGTATGCTTAATGCAGTACTGCAGCAATTACCTTCGGAGGAGTGTGGCATGTTGCTTGAGCAAGATGCTCTTGCATTTCGACCACTTGCTGTTAGGATTGAAAGCTCAAAATAGTGTTGAGTCCCCACACGGGAAAGTGATAATCGTGGTTGATGCCTGCCTTGTCTGCGACGTAATCGTGAGCTGGCCTTGCATTCCAAAGCTGCTTCTTCTCATATTTTGATCATACACCAGATCAGTGCTTCTATATTGGTTGGGGAGCCCAGCGAGTTTAGCTAGCAGAATCTAGCATCTGTGGTTCGGTGCGGACGTCACCCAGGACACATGCAACTCTCCCGCCCGGCGCTCTCGGTCGCCACCGGAGCCGTGCCTCGCTACAGATTGGACTTCACGGGGATCACGGGTCCCCAAATGTCACACAACCCTCGAATGCATTGAACCTGGAGGCCTTTGTGGTGGACGTTGGCGTTGCTTTCTGCATCTACTATGTCGGCACCCACAGCAAAAAGGATGCGAATGTGGATGAGTACGAGTCGGCTCAAGCCTTGGGGGGTTTCTATTTCCGAGCCTGGCATAAAGACGATGCCCTGCTATGCCCTGCTCTATGCTGCTCTGTGACAGCAGACGTAGTGGTGGGAGCCGGATCCAGGTGACGTCGGACATCTTGACGTGCTGCCTCGTCCGAATTTTTGCCGGGAGCTCCCAGCTCCCGTCTTTTGCATTCAGGCCATGCGACTTAGCGATGCTTTTTTGTTGAGGTGTTTCCCTTGATGGCCGGGCTTGCCTTCCTGGTCTACAAGCGCACGGAGGCGCGTGGGATGCTTGCACGTTAGCACCACACTACTGCGAGTCGACGAGTGTGCTGGTCGCGCAGGCCAGCTCGCCACTTCAGCAGTTTCGGCTTGCCCAGGCAAGAGCGAGTCGCGAGTCGAGCTCGGTGTATGTCACCGAGCCCAAATTTCGACCAAGGAATCTGCACGAGAAGTTGTGAGCAACGGGACAAACGGTGATCTACGAGTGCCTTTGGCGGAGGCTGGGCTTTGGGTTGTCCAGTGCCGTGCCTTCCTCTCGACTCTGTCTTTAAATGCCGATGCCTTCTGGGACAAGGTGCCCATGCAGGCTGTGAATGGCGCAGCGCTCAAGAGTGCACTCGTGCAGAGTGCCCGGTAAGTGTCGGGGAGTGGGGGAGACGAGGGCGCTTTGATCGTTGCCAGGCTCTGCCGCATCTTCTATTGTCTCCACCTCCAGCTGTGTGGGCAGCCCGGATGTTGATTGCAGTGCTCAGCAGGACAACTAATCTAATCACTAATCGTGCTGCAACGCTGCCATGCACAGGAGAAGAGTGCTTTCGAGATGAACCGCGACCATGCGCTGCTCATGAAGCGGGCGGATCGCAGGAAGGAGATCATCATGCTTGTGCTTTTCGCAATCAGCACAGGCGCCTGCTTCAGTTTTAGCCGGCAGATCTGTTCCCCCAGCTCCAGTTCTGGGCTGACACGGAAGGAAGTGAGTAAGATTGGGCGATTGACAATTCGGATTTTGATTGACAGCAATGAACACAGATAGCCAAGCAACATGACCAAGAGAACTTCATTTTTGATTGCCAGAAGTAAAGTTGCATTCTATGGGGGATCTGTGTGCTGTGACAGGCATGTCATTCTACAACGGTATCAAATGCATCGTGTTCCACTACGACCCGCGGTTCTTGGCCTTGCAGGGCACGCTGCAAGCTTTGACTATGGTCATGATCAACGTAGCTTCGTGGCCGCAGATTCAAGGCCCACAAGCTGCAGGCGTGTACCTCTGGTTTCCACCCACCATTTACATTCTGTAGGTATGTAGGTACAAGCAGGCTGTGTTGCTTGTTCATCAGTTTTGAACTTTTTGTGTTGTGGTTTACGTTCCTCAAGCTTGCTTGTGTGGCGTGCTTGCAGCCAGCCGAGGAGTACTTCATGCTGAAAAACCTGCTCAACAAATTTACCGAGGAACAAGGGGAGCCTGCGCCCCAGCTGTCGATCCTGGCTATGGTAGCCGCCGACATAGCAATCAGCAACCAGTCTGCGTTCAGGCTCATCCCGCATATCCACATGCACCCGCTCTTCTTTGAGACGGGTCTGAAATGCCATGGCTGTGACGTCTGTGGTGACCAAATGAAGGCTACAGTAGCTTGCAGTTTTGGCTGATGTGAACGACCGGTTGAAAAGCAGCACGTCATCTGCCCGCGCCAGGGTCCGCATTACATCGCATACAGATGCAGAACGTGCGACTTCGACCTCTGTCCACGGTGTTACAAGCAGATGCATGCTTGCAGTTAGCGGGCATTCAACAGTCCAGCTGATTTGTGAAGTTTATTGGTGTTTAGCTGCCATCTGACCATCAGGAAAGACAAGCACAGCGCAAAAGGATTTGGCGCACGATCAGTGCGCCGAGATGGAGAGCAAATCACGACATGGACATACTTCAAGCGCATAGTGTCGCTTGTCTCTGGACTTACAGTGCATGTTGAGCATACGCTGCACCTGTCAATGCGCTGAAAGGCAGCTCTCCATGGAATTTTGGCCCACGCTGGTGGCAGCCGTCACCTGTTTGGTCATCACGCAGGGATTGCAAATCTTCGCCCCGAATGTGCAAGGGTCGATCTTCGATGGTATCCTTGCATATCTGAAGAACCCCGAGGGTGGAAGATCAAAATTCGAGTACGCCATGCTCACCTATGTTATCATCAACGTTTTGCAGGGATGCTTCAGTGGCTTGAAAGCTCTTGCGCAAGAACTGGTGCAGAGGCGCATGGCCTGTTCCGTTCGTTTGAAGCTCTTCGCAAGCGTGGTCCGCATGGATATCTCTTTCTTCGATACTATGCACACTGGTCAGCTGACATCACGCCTGACGAATGATGCGGGTACCTGGACCGGCGGTTCAGCGATGCCTTGGTTACTCCGGTTCATTCAGGCAATTCGGGTTTGCTTTCCCGATTGCTTCTGGGGTGGTATGAGCATTCGGTTTCCCTGTCTCGTCTGGCTCCAGACAAACCTGATGTGAAACGATGACGGTTGTGACGCAGCAAAAACGCTAAGCCATGCAACACGATGGCTATACCACCCGCCGAAGCATGCGAAGGCCCGCCTTTACCACATTAGAGGTCTCCGAAGCCGCCGAAAGCTTGCAGCCACTGAAATGATGCGTACATCACGGTTCATTGGCTTCGAAGAAGCAATGCATACTGCAGCTACATAACTCTTGAGGTTGTTAGTCCTTGCAGGCACTGTGGGTCACGAAGAGTGCTGGGTACCTGTCTTTCCTTGCTGTGCCACATGCACCGCTGCACCAAGGTCAGATGACGCAGCCGCTTGGCGCACGTCCCGGGGATATTCAGTGGCGACCTCTCGGAGTCTCCATGGTTGCTGTTGCTGTCGCTCGCGCTATCGCTGTGGCTATTGCTATTGCTATCGCTGTTGCTATTGCTATTGCTGTTTTTGTACTATGACTAAACCTATTTACTCTTACCACTACTGTTACAACAACTAGTACAGGCAACTAGTACTATTACCGCCACTGTTTCAATTGTTGTGATGGTTATGATTTTTAATATTGTTATTATTTTCTATCTGATTTTTATTGCTACTGATACTACTATTACTATTTCTACTACTTTTTACTATTACTATTTCACTATTTATGATGATGTGTATTTTGGTTTTTATTATTACCAAAATTATTATGATTGTTACTACTACTACTACTACTACTACTACTACTACTACTACAACTACTATTACAATTATTGCTATTATTATTTTTATTGCTAGTATTCATCATAAGTATTATGATGATTATTACTGATACTATTACTACTAGTATTATTACTATTACTATGATTACAGCGATTACTATTTTTTTACTACTAGTACTACTGTTGATCAACCGTAGTACTAGTACTCGTACTCGTATTCGTACTCATACTACTATTGCTGCTACTACTACTGCCACTATTCCTTCTTACTGCTGCTAGTGCTACTGCTGCTGCTGCTGCTGCTGCTACTGCTGCTGCTACTGCTACTGCTGTTATTACTCCTGTTGCTGCTAGGGCGAGGTGCCCAAATTAGGTGCAAGGGCAGGGTCCAGCGAGTAAGTTCCGCGTAAGTTCCACGTAGGTGTCGTTACAGTCGAGGTAGCCAGATCTAGGCCAGGGCTCATTGTACAAAGCTCAAAAATCTCATCGGCTTCAACCCTTGGGATGGCCCGAACCCGCCCTGACCAACTGCTGTAGCTTGCAAGCAGCCCTGAAACCCGTAGGATGCCTCCCAGAAGGTCTTAATTACGCCCGTAAGAGCTTGCCGTTCGAGAAGCTTTTAGGAAGCTTTGCACACGCCCTTAACTTAAGTTCAGACGCGTTCCAGAAGCCTTGGCAGAACCTTGAGAAGCTCGTATTCATGTGCTTTAAGAAGCCTGCTTGAATAGCCTGTATAGTATAGGGTTTGTACGGAGTTCCAAGAAGTCGCTCAGAAGGGTTTGGGAGACCACTAACCGAAAAGTTCTTCTTCATTTGCGAGCATTTAGCTCGGGCTTAGAACTTGCAAAGGTGTGTAAATATGCCTCCGCAGAAGTCCCGCAATGGTGCTGCGAAGGTATAGCATTTGGACGCGAAGCGAAGAAGGTCCTTCCGGGATGAAGGAATTTAGATCAAAACCAATGTCTCTTTTCTTTTTCAATCTCTCCCTGCCTCTCTGGTGGCCCTGGTACCAAGCACCCAAGTCTGTGTTCTCCTGAACGTAGCAACCCCATAGTGCTTCCACACTGTTCGGGCAAATTTGAGAAGTCATGCATGACTAAGAAACATTCCGTCAACTAAAGTGAGCTTTAAACATACATGTGAAGATGGCCTGACGCAGCTGCTAAGGCCGCTCAGCACATTGATGAATGATCTGCTCGCCAACGTTTTGTTGCTGGTGCCACAGCTGCAGTTGATGCGTGTCAGACCGGGACAGCAAAGAGTGCGCACAGAGACATGGAGTTGAAGCAGTTCTTATCATACCGTGACCTCAGAGGTGGGCGGCATGTTCATGGCTTTCCACACTTCTTGGAAGTTGTCGATCCTTGCACTTACAATTGTGCCTCCGATCACCTACAGCTACCGTGCATATGCTAAGTGGGCCAGGAAAATCACAAGATCCATCTATTGCGCCTATGGTGAGGCAAACAGCACTGCGACGGATGCCATTAGTAACATCCGTACAGTGCGTGGCTTTTCAACAGAAGAGCACGAGGCTTTCAGATACTCAGACAGCATCAACACAGCCTTAGGCCACGGTGTGAGGAATGCTTACGTTGGAGCCTCGGTGACGGCCTTCTCAACGTATCTTAATTTGGGCACGGCGGTGCTCATTTTGTGGTACGGTGGTCAGCTTGTTTGTGACGAGAAAGGCGAAGTGATGAGCATTGGCTCTCTCATTACCTTCCAGCTCTACTGGAACATGATGAACAATGCTTTCATTGCTCTCGGGAACGTCTTCAATGACTTGATTCGTTCCTCGTCAGCGGCGGAACGGGTTTTTTCATTGATCGATGCCCGCCCCGATGTCAATCCCGATGATGGGGAGGAGGTCACTCGCGATTGTGTCAAGGGCCACCTGCAGCTTCGTGGCATTGAATTTCGCTACAGGTCTCGTCCCGAGACCTTGGTTCTGAAAGGAATTGACATGGACATGCCCCCTGGGACCACCACGGCTCTTGTCGGCAAGAGTGGAGGTGGCAAGAGTACCTTAGTTCATTTACTCATGAGGTTCTATGAACCAACTGGTGGGGAAATACGCCTGGACGGCCGGAGTATGTCGACCCTGTCTTCCAAGAGTGTTCGTCGATGTTGTGGGTTCGTTGCACAGGACACGCAGCTGTTCTCTTCCACCATCGTTGAAAACCTTGCCTACGGAATTGGCAGGGGGTACACGCGTGATGAAGTAGTTGAAGCTTGCCAAGCAGCCAATGCGCATGAGTTCATTCTGGAAATGGAAGAAGGTTATGACACGCGAGTTGGCGAGAAAGGAATCATGCTATCTGGTGGACAGAAGCAGCGTTTGGCAATTGCACGATGCTTCCTTCGCAAGCCTCGGATGCTGTTCCTGGATGAAGCAACATCAGCTCTTGATGCAGAGAACGAGGCAATTGTGCAGGGTGCGCTCGAGACTTTGCTATCGGAGCTGAACAGCACAGTTGTGCTGATCGCTCACCGACTGAGCACGGTTATCAATGCAACGCAGATCTGTGTCGTACACAAGGGAACGATTGTGGAGCGTGGCTGTCACGATGAGCTCGTTGCCACCGGCGGAGTCTATGCCCAGCTTGTCAGTCGTCAGCTTTCCCGTGATGCAAGCGCTGTGATGGATTCCAAGAAGGAGAAGACAAAGCCTTCCTCGAATCTTGACAGCCCCGGTATATCCATGTCCAGTTTGCACCAGGCGACAGGTCGCTCTCAGGCTCTTCACTCCGAGAAAGCTTGCGGTTCTTTTTCTAAGGAAGGCGACTGAGATCGATGTCCGTAGCTCAGTTCCTGTAGAGGCATCAGTTCAGATCAGTTCCGTCATTTTGGTCTCACCATCAGCTCGTTACGTGTTTGGTTCAGGATTTGATCGAGGAGATGGAGCAAGCAGGTAGGATTCCTGCATTGCAGATTGGCCGCACAGACACTTTGTCAACATGACCTCAGTGCTCGCAGGCGGCAAGTTGGGAGAGTGAAGGGCACTGAGGCCTGGATGCGGTAGCAGTTGGTACCTATAAACCAAGCCGTTGGCCCTGAGCTGGCAAGGCGAACATAGTGCAGGATTTCGCTTCGCGTCTGAGCTGTAGAAGTTCTTTTTCCGAGGTATAACGAAAGGACCTCCAAAGTGGAATTAGCCGTTGCTGACTACGGGTGTGCTGCCCAGCCTGAAAGGCTTCGAGGAAAGCGCTGCATCCATACTTGATGCGAAAAGCTCGGTGAGCATCAGAAGCTTTCCGATCCACAGGATCACCTAGGCGATTCAGGCGAACAATAGCGCAACTATGTCTGAATTCAATCAAACGTTTCACTGCATGCAGAGGCGTCTTTTCCGACAGCTTAGCCTCTGCAGGAAGTGTCTTAGCACCGGCCAGCCCTGCTACTCATGTCTTTAAGACGTAGACCAGCGCTGTGTACAGCTGAATGTGCTCCTGGTGATCAAAAATCCGAAGCGAAGCGACATGCTCAGACTTGGTCTGCAGTGTGCAAAGTTGGTGCATTGGAGGGCCAAGTCTACCAGATGCGGGACTTCGCGTGTCTCCCAAGCAGTGGGACCACCAGGCGGTCCTTCGGCCCGAGTCACTCGGGATCTTTGAAAGATGCTGTTGCGCAGGGGAGTGGACTACTTTCAGAGCATGGGACGGATCACGCTGAAGTATGTTCTCCGCGAGGCAAGCCTGTCAGTGAAGCGCATGGAAAGAAGACACGCTCCTCCGCTCCGTAGGCTTCACTGTGTGCGGCTGACCTCTGCGTGGAGCTGTCCAGCTGGGAGCTAAAGGTGAAGGTGCCTGCAGTGCCAGCCATTGCCCGGCCCGCCCCTTCCCGCCACAGTCACAACACTAAGACAATCATGAGAAGCAGAAGCAGTCGCAGGCTGTGGGAAGACAGGATCTGGACAGCCTCCTGGCCCCTATCAATGGCACGCTGTCGGGAGCTTACCAAAACAGTTCCAACTTTCACTTGAAGGGTAAACGTCTCCGTACAATTCGCTCGGCCTTGTGCTGGGACCGCAAAGATCTCCCTTGAATCGCAGGTATGGAGATGTTAGGCGAGACCTCTCATGGTGGACCTTGGACAAGCAGGCTTGATGTGCAATGCCGTTCTTGAGAAGAGCAAAGACATGCTGACATGCTGCAAGGAGGATGGAAGCAATGTCTTCACATTGGAGCTGGCCAAGCGAGATCACAAGGCGTGCGCTGTTGGTACCACAATCTGCAACAAATCAGTGTTTTCCTATGTTTTCCTCCTAGGCTTGGAACGCAGTCCGAAGCTCACAAGGTTGACAGGCGCTGCACCTAGCTATTGAAACATTTGCCTGGGTTTGTCCAAGGTTTGGAAGCTTGGACTGAGCCACCACCGCAAGCACCTGGCCCAGAGCGGGGCAGGCGCATGTGATATCTCGTGGCCTGAAAGCAGCTGAGGAGCCACTTCGGTTGGACTCCTACAGCTCGTACGCCGGTTAAGAAGGCGGAAGACATGCTGGTCAAGGCGGGCAGCCTAGCGGCCTACACGTAGCAGCCTTTGGCAGCTCCTCCTGGGACTTCGCGCGGCAAACACTGGCAGGTCAAGCCTGGCCGGCTGCCAAGAAAGCAGGACTGGGACTGCACGGCAACAGCAACGTGCTCGCTTCTTGCCCTGGCCTCCGTGTCCGCGTGGCAGGAAGCGTTCGTGGCTCGTCGGGAAGATCTGTGCTGTTCTTTGGAAGATGGCCAGGCCGATGAGTGCTCGGAAGCCGAAGCCGGCTGCGGGGGCGCTTTGCGATGCTTTGCGGCTTTGCCTCAGGACGACAAAACCGCGGTTTTCCGAATCCATTTGGACAAGGCAGCCCTGGAGAAGGCGCCACAGTCCAGCCATGAAGCTACATTCAGCTACTGGCACAGCTTTGCTAGGCATGTGAAGTCACCTGCCTCGCGGATTTGTTTGGAGTGGATGTCATGGAGCAGTGCCCGACTGTTCCAGTTTCAGCTCCGCGGCAGAATTGACGAACCTGAAGCCGGAAGCCGCTGCACCTGTCAAGGTACCTGAAAGTGTTCATCAGAGGAGATGACAAATCTCCGATTCTGATGGTGCGACAGCTGAATAGTACGCGGTTCAGAGTTCACACGATCCCAGCTCTCCGGTCGTTTCAGGGGAAGCTCTTTGACAAGATTATTCCTGACAAAACTCGATGGGACATCATTAAGGCATGGCTCTGCGCTTTGATTCGTGAGTTTCTTTGTGGGGACGCAGTAGAGTGCGTGAAGGCAGCAGCTCCGGCAGAAGCTGAGGAGCAATGGGCTCAGCCGTGCATGGTCCCGGTTCTTGTAGGAGATAAACAGCCTCGAGTGTATGCACGAAATCTATCCTTTCATACTCACTTTCAGAGACTTATATCACTTATATCCCTTTCTCACGAAGAGACGAGGGTTCTGCACTGGTAGCAACCGGTGGATCTCGAGGCTTCGTCGGGTCTGTCGTCCGGTCGGGTGGAGTCGCATGTCATTGCATTCTGCTGCTCGCATGACTGCAAGGCAAGTGAAAAAGTCCGGGCAGTACAACACGTGCTTGCAGGTGCCTCCGTTCGTCACTCCTGCAGCGTGCATCGTGCGACGCTTTCAGGTGACGCTGACGAAGGCAAAGCCTTCTAAGAAGCACTGGCAGAACTCTCAGAGCCGAGAGCATCGTCCACCTTCCCTTCTGCATCCAGCCACGGGCCCCGCCACAACCACCAGGCCGCAGATGCTGGAGGAGAACGAGTCGCTCGGACTCGCACACAAAAGCAAACCACCCGCGAGAGATCAGAGTGAGATCTTTCGAGGCTTGTCCTCCAGAGAGAAGCGGCGCCACAGATTCAGGCAGACCAGTCCATCATGCAGTGCCAAGCAAGATGCCTGGAAGTGCAACGTTGCTGCAATTTGTCCTGCTGGGAGGACTTACACTCGAAGGCGCTTCGAGCAGCATCGCCGGACCGCAGCGGCTGGTCGCCCGAGGCAATCGCGCACCGTTGCCGCCACCGTGGTCTCCGAAAAAACTCGTCCTCGCCAGGAGCTCGCGCGAGACTTCAAGAACAAGGCGGGAAGCTTTGCTTTGAGATGTACGAGGAATGGAGCATCGTGCAGTGGACGTTGCGTGTTGGCTGAGGGATGTCCTGCCCACGCAGTGGCCGTGACAGCAGGCCGATGGATGCTTCAGAAGTTCATCCTGGCGTGATGCAGCCGTGCGCCGGCTGCAGTCGCGAGGACGAGGACGTCGTGTCTTGGGGGCCTTCTTGAGTGTGGCCAGCACAGGTATACTACACTCGAGCCTTGAATCAGACGCCCGACGAAGAGAAGCCCTTGCCTGAGATCATGGTGCAGAGTGGTGCAGTGGATCCTGAAGCCATGTGTCTGTTGTTTTCGAGCGCTTTTGCAGCCACAGTCATTTCATGTGCTTCTCCGCGCTGCGGCGAGGCTTTTCTCAAACCGATCGGCATGCTATGTGAAGCTCAAAAAGTTTGACAAGGACCACTGGGGAGTTCTGTGGGAAGGAAGCACCGGGGCAGCGGGCCCCGCAGCAGCTCCCCATCCCTCGAGGCTTTAAGAGATGCCAAGACGTGCGTATCGCTGAAGCCGGAATGGCCCAAGGCCATCTGCGCGTTTTCAGAGATTCACCGGGGACGCCGCATGATACCGCATGCTTTCTTGAGGCTTACTTCAGGCTTGGCCAGGCCCACCGAGGCCTGAAGCAATGGGAGGCGCGAGGGCGAGCCGCCCGGTGCCCCCATGTCGTCACAACTCCTCTGCGAAGGAAGCCATTGATGCCTTCAGGGAAGGTCGCTTCAGGGAGCCATCGAACCAGGCCATCGATGCAGCCTGAGATGCTGACAACGTCGTGGTTTGTCCCTCAGGAGTGGGCAAGGGAAATCGAGAAGACGGAGGACAGCACAAAAGCAAGTTGTCCCTGGCTGTCGCAACAGATTTCAAGCAGCAGCTGTCTGATTTCAGCAACGTTTCATACGATACCTCTGCAATCATCTGCCCGAGGAGCAACAAGCAAAATGGGATGCTCAAGCAGCGTTTGGGCCTTCCACGGCTGTGTAACATCGGGCCTTCGGCACTGGTGCATCTACGCAGGGAGCAGAGAAAGCTGAAAAGGGAAGCAGACATGGTCACGGAACTCAATGAGGTGTTTTGAGCAGGGCTTGCGCGAAGGATATTGAAGCCTGCAAAATTGGACAGGCTACCGTGGTGGCCGAAAGGGAAGCCATGGTCGCAGTTGCTGAGCAGGTGGGCTGCAGCCGGCTGACCACATTTCTGCACACTGTCGTTGCTGGCTAGCTTGTGAGAGGCGAGGCTTACTGTTTGCGATTCGGGCTTTCTGTCCGACATTGATTTTCAAGACTTCTTGCACTGGCCAAATCGTGTCCACCTGTGGCATTTGGCTCAACCCAAAGCTTTTCAGCATCAACCGATTGCTGGGCGCAAGCCTCAGTGCCTTCCACTCTGCAGGTTGTTTTTCAAAGCAAGAGGAGCGAGAGGTCTTCTGCATATCATCGCTTGTATAAGGTGCTTGGCGCAGCTGCCAAAAGTGTAGCTCCTGTTGCAGTGTACAGGACACCTTTGCCGAAGGCGCTACATGATGCTGATGCACGGCCGCTGAATGCGGCCACGTTTGAACACGAGGGTGCACATGTCAAGGCCATCTGGTGTCCCTGAACATCTGAGCAAATTAGTCCGAGCAATGCCAGCAGCTGAGTGCAAAGGCACCGAACTGGCATTCGGAATGCATCCCTTTGTGTCCTAAGGCCGCTTCTTTCTACCGTTCCGCAGAAGGCTGGTGGCGCGGCGCACTCCCCAGAGCCACTGAGCCACTCCCGAGCAGTCGAGCAGCGAGCATCCACGAGCATCCAGGCCGATGTGCAGAAATGCGTGCCTACTTCGCCTGGGGCTCTGAGACTTTTTGAAACCCTGAGACTCTGAACTCACCATCTGTGGGTATGCGCCGCGCAGAGGTCCGAGAAGGCTGCCTGCTCAGTTGCTCCACAGGTGAATAAGAATTCGTACCGGAGTTTGGGAGTAGCACTTTCTGTAGTTGCTCGCCCTTGGATGCCAACCTGTAACCTTTCCTTCCTGAGGCGGCACTCTCTAAGACCAAGAGCGAATCAGGACAGCATTTTTGCAGAAGTCTGACTTCCATTGTGCTCTCAGACTTGGCTTTCATTTTTGCGCTGCAGTTAATAAGCGAATATAGACCAATAAGCCGTCAAGCCCTGCAAAATGCTGCGTCGACGACTAGACGGTTTAGGGTTGAGGGTTCAGGGTGTGGAGTTTGGGGTTTAGGCTCCACCGATACAAGCAGCGGCTGATGGGCTTACTGGCTTATTGGCTGGCTGATCGGCTTGTGTGCTTTTTGGGTGGCTGATCGGCTTATCGGTTGCCCAAAAGCACGTACACTGCTGAACTGCGATGCTCCCTCTCCCAGTTCCTCCACCATACCCTCGCACCTCAACTGCCACTACGAATATTTCGTGAGGACTGTCGAATTCTGGAACCATTGTGTGGGCTTTTCACCCACCGTGTGGTCAACACAACACAACATTGGTTTTTGCTTAAGGGTCAAGAGCTTAATGTCTTGGGCTAGACGCTGGGATCGAGTGCTTGGACTCTCGCCATGAGGCTTAGGCTTTTGGTTTGTTTTGACGGCTTCAGCACGTGGAGATTCGGGCCCTTGCCCAGCCTCAGTTTGAAGTACTCAGGTGCCTTTTCCGTGTCTGTCTTCTGCTGCGTGTGTACCCAGCAGCCAAATCTCAACACTACAGTAGGTCTTGCATGTTCGCAAGTTTGCGCCTTCAGCTTTTGCTAAAGTCGGGTTTTCGCAGGCCCGAGCCTTTGAGCTGCCATTAGATTCTGTCGATCCTCACCCGGCATGTGGTTGCGGACTTGCCCCTGGTGCTTGTGTTGTTCAACTGTCTTGCTCGGGTCAAGCGTGCTGGAGGAGTGATCTTATCAACCGAGGACTGTTGCACTTGTCATCAGGATTGGCCCATGCCCGCAGGTGACAGAAGCGGTTTGGTAGTATGTGTCCTGAGCACTCGGCGAGGAGATTAAAGTGACCGCTGGTCCTGCAAATGGAGAGGTCAAGATTTCGGTGCTGCTGACACGCTTGGGGCATATCTTGGCTGCACACCAAAGGAGGAAGGTTTGTTTGTGTCAGGTGCCTCGCTTCCTTGGCCAAAAGGGCAAGAACAAGCTTGGTCCGAGTCTTTGCGGAGTTTTGTCGACTTTCCACTAAGGATCAGTTCTCATTCCCAGTCTCTCTCATTCTTGCTCTCCCTTTTCTTTCTTCTTTCCTTTTCTGGCAGCAGGTGCGCCTCCTGGTCTTGAGAGCGGCCGCAGCAAACCTCCTGGAATTCATTTTGCCCCGTCGCAATCTCAGCCAGTAGACGTTGTGGACGATCCCTTTGCTAGAAAGCCTGAGCCGAGGCCCCCCGGCTTGAGCCGCCAGCCAATGAAGGCCTGCAGGGCGGTTTCCAGAGAGTGCAGATGACAATTCCTCAGCTTCAGCAGGTTACAGAACCCGATATCAGTAGTTCGCTCTCGCCTCAGACACCGAAAAATCGGAGACGTCGGAGTTTGTTGAAGCGGCTCTCAGGCTGTCAGGCCTACCTTCGCCACCGTTCCCATCCCCAGCTCGGGCCCCGGCATCCCCCGAAGAAGCCAGAGAACCCGGAAATTTCTGGCCGCCAGATCCTGGGAGGAAGTTGGGGGGGCCTCCGACACACTCAGGAATCCGCCAGCAACTCCTCTTCTGAAGACGAGATCCAGCACTTGCCAGACAAGGAGGCAAGGACCTGATCCGCCAGTGTACTCTAAGAAGGGCCTGCGCCCTTGCAGTGAAGGCTGGACTCAGTGACGGCGACAACAGTACTGCTGACGATGAGCAGCAGGACATGCCCGTGGTTGCTAGTTTTTGCTGCTTCCCAAACGGTAGTCAGCTCTCAGTTCGACATGAGAGCTGGTTGGCATCACAGGCGCAGGCAGATACTGACATTTGCAAGCCGCTCCCCACGCTCCTGGGCTCGACCCCGCTTCCGTCTCTGCTTGGCTCTGCACCTCTCTATGGAAAGCCAGGGCCTTCGATGCCCCCGACGGTGTTGGCCTTTTTGCCTGGTACATTAGCCCAGGTCGATCATCGAGAAATTCACCACTGCATCCAAGGCCTTTCCACTTCTGTGTTATGGAGACGTGTCAGCATGCCATGCGAACCAGGCCGACAAGATGGAGCCAGCTCGCGTTTCTGAAGTCACACCTTCGTGATCCACTTGCCGATTACGTTTCAACTTCACGCATGCAACAGGCCGGCAAGCAAGGTTAGGCCGACTTGTAGTACCAGACACCAGTCAGGACGAGTTTAGTTTGCCTTTGCTGGGATGGGGTGAAGCTTCGTTTCCACACCATTAATTGCGAAAGGACGACTTGGAATACAAACGTCTGAAGTTCGGAGCTTCGGGACTTGGGAGAAGGAAGACGAAGCCAGCTCGGAGCCAGAGACTGAGACTGAGACTCATGCCACTCCTTGGCGCCAGGCTGCGGAAGCTGTGACCCCCCGAGCGCTAGGAGCGTGAGAAAAAGCGGCCGAGCGCAAATCTCCTCTGAAGGAAGAGACGGAAGAGAGCGAGTTTGTTTATGGGAGTGGAGCCCTTGCGGTGTCGCCTTGCGCAGGCTTTGCAGGCGGGAAAGAGCCGCAAGGAAGCTGGCGAGCTTGCACTCAAGGCAGGCTCGCGAGATAATCTGCCGGCTTCATGGCTATCAACCAATCATGCTATGTCATGCTTCTGCACGCGTGCCGCCGCAGCTTAGGTTCAAGCTGTTTGTTGACTTTTTGTGTAGCTGTTGGCGACAGTTTGCATTGCCAAGCGCCTTGCCTTCTGAGATGTAGGCTGAACTCTACCGTGAAGTGTCCGAAGCCCTCCTGTGCAAGGTTGCTGTGGTCGCGATGTCTTGCTGCGAACCTTTTGGCGGCCCGAGGAGTAAGTCGTGCCAGGACGCTGTCTGATCTGCCCCGGTGCATGAGGGTTCCAGTCTGGCTCGCCTTGCTACCTCAGAGCTGGAAAAACCTGATCAGGATATGTTGAAAATAGAGACAGATGCGACGGATGCGCGTCGACTGGAGAATGCTGTGGGCAGCTTACTTCAGGCCTTACGAGCTGCCTGACACGGCATCGTCGTATAAGGTATGGAGACTGTACCAAAAAGAAAGGTCAATGTCGGCCCGACACCCGGCACCGACCCCCAAGCACAAGGCCCAGTGCGGTGTGTTGCGAGGATCTCGCCTCTCTCGTAGAAGATCAGGATGAGGAACAGGTGCCTGGTAAGAGTTCGATCCCCATGTCGCTGTGGATTATGATCAGATGCTTCTGCAACGCAGGACGTGGAGACGCTCATGCGGAAGAAGGCACAGAGCACTATCGGAGAGAAGTGGGGCACTGAAAGTGCTTGATATTCGGAGATCTGCTTGCTCCGTTGCGTGGCTGCGACTAGCAACACTTTGAACGATGCTTCCCTCGAGGCTGAACTTCACAGATGTGCGGTTTGACTTGAGTGAGTAGCTGCCTCAGCAGCCACTTTCCAGTTTCCTTGAGTAGCAGACAGCTCCTTTGTCGGTCCAGGAGCCAGTGTGACTACGACGACCTGCCGACGTTCCCGATCAGACCAAACTTTGCAGGCGTTTTCCAGTGTGAGCACAGTGAGTGAGAGAGTGAGCTGTCTCTGGATGACGGTTTTGGTGCTCGTGCGGGGAAACGCCTGAGCCTGCAGGCTTCAAGAACGAGCTTCAGCCTGCATCGCAGTGTGTCGTTTTTGATGGATGTCCCGAGGCCGGACGATGTCGAATGCCCTGCGTTGACTGTCTGACGTTGCTTTGCAGGACCCTTACCATCCATCCAATACCCCCATCTACCAGACGGCCACCTTTGTGCAGCCGTGGCTTGGCAGATCTCGTTCATCGCGAATGCTTCCGCATCGTGTTTTGTTCCACCCGCAGCCGGCGCCACCATCAGACACCGAACTCCCTGCCTGGCCGTGCCTCCTGCCCTCCGGACAAGGAAGGTTTGGGTGGGATCTTGGAAAGTTTGACGAAAAAAGTCGGAACGATGCTGTTGGCTGGGATCTCGCAAGCACGGGGCACAGGGCACCAAGCAAGCGTTTTGGTTTTCTTGTTTCTCGGGGCAGGGAGCTGTCTGATGCTGGCAGACGTAGCTTGCAAGCCTTGAAATTCTCTCCCTCTTGCTGGATCTGCAGGCATGCTTGTTTTGCTCCGGAGCACTGTCTTGTGGTCTTGTGGTTTTAGCTTCTCCCACTCGCTGGGACTTGTTTCCTTGTTGAGTCCATGCGCATCCGAGGTCCTCGAGTGAGTTTGGACCTTACGACTACTCCCGCTCGGGAAATCCCACAAGGCTGTAAGTGGTGGTGCTTCTTCGCCAACCACTTGATGGTTCTTCATGCGCAGGACTGCGTTGGAGAAGCATGTCGCGATGCTGGAACAGGCTCCGTCGGCAAAAACATACAGTTTCTCCGCTTGCTTGTGCCGAAGAGTCTAAGCAAAGGCAGCGGCAGCGTTTGCCTTTGCGTCTGGTATGGCCGCCGGAGAGCTGAGACGCTTGCAATTTGCCGAAAGGCGGTCTGGTTAGGTCTGGAGTCTGGATCTCAGGCACTACACACAGTGACCCGCTTGCTAAAGTACGGAGACCAGGCCCCAAGGGTCACGGGATGTGCCTTCAGGCCCTTGGAGGGGCAAGAGTCATCTCTGGAAGGTGATTGCAAACGAGGACATCTATGGTGGCATGCACAGGCTCCTGACACAGGCACGCGGGAGATGATCATGGTCGTAGGCGGAAGCAAGTGATGTGATTCAAGGTGGACTGCATCTTTGTAAGAACGAGCATGAGTTGTGGAAGGACTGCACAAACAGTGGCATCGATGCGTCTTGTCCTGTATTTACACGCCTATGGATTCTTTCAGACGCCTCTTTGCAGTGCAGCACTTGTGCTGCTGGTTCTCCAACTGAGCAGAGGTCAAGTTCGTGGACACGACAGACCTCAATGCTCTCAGCAAGGCTGTTTTTGTAGTGGGGAGATGGTGGACTCACATTCTTGGTGTCAGTCTATATCTGACGTTCGGACGCCATCTTCCAGTCGAGAGGCCATCACTCCGAAGACTCGCCTCATTCACCTGGAAAGCCCGCGCAGCTCTGAGTGCTCACTGTACGTTTATCTGCAGGAGACGTCTCAACTCGCAGAGTGCAGTCCCTTCGGTCCGTGAAAATTGATGCTGCCAAGGTCGAATCCCAGGATGCGCATCACAGACATCAGAGGCGTGTGTGCTATTGCGCACAAGCTGGAGCCTCAAACAGATGTGCCAAGGGCACCTCATTGACATCTGCAGAAAGCATTTGCCAGTGACAGTCGATTGGAGCGTTCTCTTGAGTTTTACAACTCTCACTGATAAGGCATGGGATTCTTGTCAGCGTGGACAGCACCATGATGCCGCCAGTGATTTGCAAGCCACTCACCCTGGGTCTGCATCTCAGAATATCTCAGAGGTGAAGTAGTTGGACACTTGCGCAAGTTTCCTAAGTGTGGAAAATTGTCGGTCAGCACTCGCATTGGGGAAGGCGTTGACATCGTGGTGCACTCTGCCACAAAGTTCTTCTCTGGCCATGCCGACTGCACTGGCGGGCTAGTCTGCGTCCGCCATCCTGTCGGGGCCCTTTCATCCGCAAGTCCAAGCGACAATGAGCTGCGCCTCAGGAGCTCGCTCATCGAGTGGCTTTCCTGCAGAATGCCGAAGGCACGGCCCTGGCTCCTTTTGAGTCTCGCACTCAGTTCCCAGTTCCAGGCTTCGACTGTTCCTGGCCCGCATGCAAATGTCGTCATAGAGAGAGAACTAGCCGGAGGGAAAATAGCGTGGCTCAGGTGCTTCCTTTTTCTACGTGGCATCAAGACCATGTTCTTGTTCGGACCACAGTGCGTTCTCGAACGGCAAGGCTCCGCTGCTTAAAGCGCTCCCGCACGAGGCGAGTGGAGCGCGCGCAGCAAAATGCACGCCGAGCTGAGACCTCAACATCGCATGGTGTCCGGTTCGGAGGGCTATGATACTACAGGGCTACATATGGGAAACTTGGCCAAGGTCGTCAACTTTTTGCTTAGGAACAAGCACATCAACCAGGCGTCGGCCTGAGTTGCTTTTGCTTTCCAGCTCTCCATCCGCCTTCTCCCAAGAGGTGTTTTTCCCTGGCCCCGGGGGATGCGATCCCACCAGCCAGATGCTCAAAAAAAGGGGGGGGGGGCAAAGCCAAACTCTCGATTCTGGAGGCTTGGCCATTCATTGGTCCCAGAGCAAGGGCAGTGGATCAGTGATCAGTTTGACCACAGGACAGCCAAAAGAGCCAGAGGGAAGCGGAAAAGCTAATCAGCGTTGGCTGCTCTACAGGATCGGTCGACTTTTCTCGGCGCCTGGTAGATGCTTGCCGGGCACCTGGCGAGCCTGGTGGGCCTGGCGTTTGGGTGCCATCGGCAAGTGAGGCAAGATTTTCAAGACCACAGTGTCTTTCGGCAGCTGGAACCCGAGAGTTCCAACCACTTGAGCTTGTGCTGCTGGAGTGCTTCGTCGTATGCACGTTCAGCTCCAGCTTGAAGGTGTCAACAGTCTGCTCGAAATGCCGTGCACGATGAGCCGCGCACTTTAATTGGCATGTTGATCCTGGGTGTAGCAGCGAGAGCTTCACGAATTCCACGCAATTTCTGATCGCTCATCTGTTGATCGCAGTATTGCTCGGTTCTGTTGCCATTCTGATTCTTGCCTCGTCACCCGCTTTTGCTCTTCCTCCATCCCTTGCGGCCTTGGCGTTCGTCGAGAGAGGATATCCTTTTCGCTAAGGCCATGCCTCTATTCCAGCTGAGAAGAGGACATTGGCTGATGACCTGATCAGGACCCTGTGCACGGAGTCATGTTGTCTCAGTCCGAACAGGGCCGCAAGCTGAAACCAGCACTGTTTGTTCCTGTGTGTGTTCTGCAGAGTGGATACAAAATCATCGTCTGCTGTAGTTTGTGCGTCATGCCGCCAAGCGTTTCGCATCTGCTGTCAGGTCCAGGTCTCGAAGTATCTTGCAGAACTAGAACGGAGACTGAGAGCAACATGTTGTACTTGCCAAATTCTCTAAGTTGGCACGTGTGCAACAACCAGTGGAGGTTCTTGCAAGCAATTGACTCGCCAGACCTCGGTTTGAATCCGTGCTTTTCTTTCAAGTGTTGCTTGTGAAATCTTGTGAACTCCGCGTGGTTTCGTTTGTCGCGCTTGAGTTTCTGGTATGTTACGCGACATTAGTGAAGTTATCTCCGGCTCACCGGTGCATCGACACTGTTTCGCACTGCCTTCCCAATGTGTGGTGTTTCTTTATTGCGGTTCAGACACGGGTCTACAGAACACTGAAACTGCAAATCTCGGCTTTGGTCTTAACGGGAGGTGTGGGAAACAGCCTTCGGCCCTGCAGTAGAAACGATCTGGCCAACTCCATCCATGCAACGAACATGAGAAATCGCTGCAGGATTTCGATTGGTATCGAGGATCCACAGGATCTCATCGCGGATCTGGACCAAGCCATCAAGGCAGATTCGCGCCGAACATCCGGAGGCTTTTCGCAAGTAGCACGAAGCACGCTGCAGGTTGCTGCCGGAGAGCTCTGTTCGAGCCCTCACGGAGGTTTTGACAGCCAGTTCCAGGAATGCTCCGTGGTTGTGTAGGGAGGGATTCGTTCTGCACTCTGCCGCAGAACTCAAGGACCTACCCATCGTGCCCCACATCCTGGAGGCAAAGGGCCACCAGGACTGGAGTCTGTCAGATTGCGCGGGGTGTTACCGTACTGGTCACTCCAGTAGCCGTGAGGAAGATGAAGTCTCGACGAGGGCTCCGTCTGCACTCAAGGCATTGTCCTCCCCAGGTTCCTTTCGAGCATTCAGAGGGGCAACCTTTTCGATGGTTCTGGGAGCCAAGTATTCCTGCTGCTCTCTGAGTCTGAGCCAAGGCGAATCTGATGCTGGCGGTGCGGAGGACGAAAACAAGGACACCCAATACCGGTACAGGCCAAAGATACAAAGGTCTTCAAAGCGTCAGGACATTGCAAGCGAGCGGATGCAATACGTCACCTCGCCATTGTTGTGATTGCTGGCATACTAGTTGTGAGATAGTCGTTTGCCAAACATAAGAGGATGTCCGAGGCAGGTGAAGCATGTCGAATAATGGCAGCAGAACTCTTCACTTCGACCTGAAGGCCGTTCCAGGGCCAAAGCGAGTCCTGAAAACCTCAGAATGGAGTCTTATGCAGGAGCTGCGAAACACTTCCAGATTCCTTGACGTGTCCTTCTCGATTACCTGCGCAGCATTCGCAGGCACAGCTGTACATGTGTGTGGGACGACAGCTTTTCGCCGTGTTCGCCGTGTTATGCCTAAACTCCTAAACGTGTATTCTCAGCCCTTGCAAGAACTAACTAAATCAATAAGGAGTCACCTCAGATGTGTTGATTGACCGGTAGGCCAGTGCCAGGTTTGGGCATATGACCCGTGAGAACTGCCAGGATGTGATGTGATTTTCAAGTGCAAGCATGAAGTGTGCAAATGTGCTCGAAAGTCACGTTTTCTCCTGCGACTTAGACATGCCGTTTATCGCTGAACAACCATGACAGTCACGGGGTGCTGACCAGTTATGGTGCTCCCTGACTCAGTCTGTGCGCTGATGGTCGCGCAGCTGCGAAAGTGAGGATTGCTCTGCCATTTTTCCGAGTGCAATGCCTCAGAGACTCAACGCTTTTCCGGCCGTCTCGGCGAGCATGGAGTGGCATTGAGGTCTAGACAGTGATGTTAGGAGTCCTGTCGCCCTGAACGCCTGTAAGACTCCCCGCGGAGCAGCGATGCTCGGAGTCGTGCTTAAAAAGTGCGAGCCTCCTAATCCAAATCCGACCTTGCTCCTAGAGCTGAGCGATGTTTGAAGGGTGTTAGCCACAAGGCCTTCCGAAAACTTTGTATGACAGGTGCAAGGTCCTAGAGGTGAGCAAGACACTTGCACACCTCTGAATCTGTGTAGCTGGCCCAGTCGGCCGGAGTGTATTTACCAGAGCGCTGGACTGTTTTTTTGTTTGTGGCGGGTTCTAGGTGCAGCAGCTTTCCTGAGGATCCATATTGGTAAGCCTAGTGTTGCTGACGACATTCGGCATCTTCAGCCCCCATGCTGGCAGGGCATGGAAGCTTTTCCTGGCGGAGCGCCGAACAGACGGTATCTCAAAGGTCTGCCAAGCACAAAACCAAGCCGGCTGACGCCAAGCCTGTCGGCTTGAGTAAATCCTTCCAAATCGGTGAATTTCGATGCGAGCGCCGGGCCTGTGGCTGATCGAGCTTAAGCAAGAAGCCTGGGCCATGAGATGCGCAAGGCACCACCAAGAGAGGCAGTTTCCCCGCGGGCATCATACTTGCATACCAGAATTATTAGACACGCAAGGTGTATCGAGCCGTCTGCATCAAGTCGTCTTAGATGAGATGCCTCTCGGCGCGTTTCACGGCAGTCTTTGGGCTTCCTGCTGTCCATTCATGTAAGAACACTGGAAGGGTCCATCGAAGTCGCCCTGAGTTAGAGCACAGCGCAGCTTTTCCAAAAGCGAATCCCCTAGCACTCTGCGGAGTGCCGATGCTATGATTACACTATTCACAATGCGGTGGCAGCACCTCAGAATGCATCCCGATCTGAGACTTGAGGCAGGTGAGCAAGCAAACAACGTGCTGAAGTGATGTAGTCCTAATTCTGGCGTGTTCCAGCCTCCACCGCTGACCAACAAAAATCCAGTCAATTTGGATGCCCCGTTGGTCTGCCGCCGCAGAACTTGGCCATTCCGTGTGGATGGACGTATCTTGACGGTTTTGTAGAGATGCAAGCCCGCTTGGCCTGCGGCTTGTTGCTGAGCTTTACAGCCCACCTTGTTCGAAGTCCCAGCTGAACAACTGAACTAACCTCTCAGCCCATGGCCTTAGCACTTCGAGAGGGGTGTCGTCGGTGGATGTCGGTGGTCTATGCACCGTGGTCTATGCACACTCTCCTTGAGGAGAAAAGGTTGGTGCATGTGCGCCCATGAGGGTTGCCTTGCATGAAACCAAGTTGCGCAATTTTAGTACAACAGACAGAAATCTCTCGAGCAAGGGTGCGGAGCTTGCCAAGCAGCGTGTGCACGACATGGCAGCGCAGAAGAAGAAGGCGGCACCATGCGGCACCAGTAGCATTTATTTGTCACAGTTGCTACTTGTATGCCTAACTTTGAGACGCAACAGCTAAATAGCTTGATTCTGGAGGCCATGATGGTGGAGGATGACCAGGAGTTAGATTCAGCGGCGCCATATCGAATCGTTTGTGAGGACCTTGCCGTTGCGTGTGTGGGAAGTCCTCTTCGGTGCCCATGGGCTGAGCTATCCATTTATGCGTAGCAATTTGTCTCACAATATCAAGCTCTCAGCGTGTCCATCAAGCACAATCAAGAATCAAGAGAGCATTGAATATGGCCTTTGCATGCAAACAACCGTGCAACGTCCTGCAATGTCAATAAAAGAAAACTGCGGCGTGAAGTTTTGTGGCATGGAGGCGGGAGTGGCATCTGCTGCTGCGAGGTCTCATGCGACACTGGTAGGGTTGGGCTCATCATGCTGGAAATCGCCACGACGGCCTCTATTTCGCCAGCGCAATCTGCAGATGACAAGCCATTATGGAGCTTGCGCGTTGCTGGCTTTCGTGAACTTAAGATTTTGCCTAAAGCTCTCGTCGCTTCCACGTAGGCTGGCGCATCGAAGCCGCATGCATGCTCAACCGAATCTGGAGTCCGTTCTGACATTTTGGTTTGGCGATGAAGTGCTGCATGCGAGGGAACGCCTGAGTGACACAGGCTATTTGCGCGAGCGGACAAAGATGTGGTACCTCAGTGGGTCGAGGTATGATGAGGTGGCAAGGGGGTTCTTGCCCCTGGTGGAGCAAGAGCATAGATATTGGCAGGGGAAAGAACCTTGGGCCAAGATCTCCGAGTCGGAGAATTTGGCGAACCTGGCAAGGGTCGTCCTGTTCGATCAGATTCCAAGAAATGCTTGCAGGGGGACGCCCGAGGCGTTTTGCTATGATCAGTATGCCCTTGAGGTGAGCGAAAAGCTTGTGGAGGATGGATATAGTGATTGTTGCTCCGCTGCCGAGCTCCTGTGTCTTGTCCAGCCATTCAGCCACAGCGAGGTTCCGGGCGATGCTTCTCGCGTTGACATGGGTATAGAGATATTGCAGAAGAACATGCAGCGCTTCGAAGATGCAACTTCGAAGGTCATCTTCCAGGCGGCTCGGTGTGATGGCAGGGGCATACCAGTCTGAGCTGTGGGCCTATACATGCCTGTCAGAGTACGAACTGCATGAGCTCTGACAGCAAGACATAAGGCGATCCTGTCTCATGACTCTCATCGCACTGTGCTCCGCCGATTTGGTCGCTACCCGCATCGCAATGAAGTATTAGGGCGGGTGAGCACATCCGAGGACCCGGATGCTTTCACACAAATGCATGCATGGTTTGCTCTGACTTGCCTGGCTTGCTGTATACTTCACTGCAACAGGGTGTCATAAACCACTTCCGCATTTAAAGTTTCAGTGCCCTGCCCTTGTGCTTTGTCTGTCTGGTTCTGTGTCACAGTGTGCTCGAGAGCTCAGCCCGTACTCGCACATGCGATTGCAGCTTATGCCAAGTGCACATCCAATCGCCAATGATCGCTCGTAGATTTCGCGACATCGCCATAGAGAGACCTATCCAACCCCAACTCAGGGTGAGTCCACTTTCATGCAGGAGCAAGTGTGGTTGGCTTCGTCGGACTGCCCCGGGTGGGCTAGAAGCCAGAGATCAAAGCGCTCGTGACGACAGACGCAGAATTGAAAAGAGAAGCATCTCGTGTCGCCTGGGGTTGCAGTAGAAGATCGGAAGGTCTCAACAGGCGTGCCAACAGTTGCAGCTCGTGCTAGCAAAGTGCATCGTTCCCACCCTTCACACAGCGAGGATGGATCTTTGCACAGCAAGTCCTTCGCCCACACGGACAAGGGCATGTGACCTCTGCCACTTGAAACGGTAGGCCTGTGTGTACGCACAAGCCTGCTGTTTCGCCAGCTTGAGCGCCTTGGACAGGTATTTTATGGGAATGACCTTCATGAACTTCAAGTCTGTTCGGAAACTCAGATTCGCCTCTGATCCATTCTCTGCATGTCCATTGAGATGACAGGGCCCGGTGAACCAGCCCTGGATCGAGATCCGGCCATCGCCTCGGAAATAGAAAGCACGCAAGGCAAGGGACTTGTAGAGGGCTATTGGCTGAACAAGGCATCCAGGCAAGCTTCGTTGGTCGCAGGGCTGCGCAGTTCTCCGACTGAAGGCGACGACTGAGGGGAGGATTGCAACAGAGTCCGTGCGCACATGACCCCTTTTGGGCCCCGTCTCTGCGCATCGCTGTATCGCAGTGAGGTCGCATGCAACATCTGCTTCGGGCTTGGGTTTGCAGGTCACTCTGCCAGAGACCATCAAGGGGGCCCAAGACGTTGACGCCCGCGCCTCGCTACAGTATGTCACTCATCAAGTTTTGCAAGTGCAGCCGAAACTGCCCGCTGTTAATCTTGCCCAAGCCGCTGCGCATCCGAATGCAGTCGTAGCTGCTCCCAGTTCCGTGTTGAAGCCTGGCATAGCTTGCAGTGGCGTCATCTCGCAGTTCGAGCATGGCCGCTCTGATCCAGCCTTAGATATAAACTTGCGAGGTTTCAGGGAGAGTCTGTTTTTTTCCAAGCTTCATATCTTCGCGCGTGTGCTTCAGGCGGATACTCCGGATCCACAACCACGTTCTGGGAGGCACCAGTCACGCACTGGCGTGTGCGTGCAGCTCCTTGTCGAAGCAGTAACCCAATCTCTGGAAATCAAGGTAACGGAACATGAAGGACATAGTCGGTGCGGTCATCCACCCATAACAAGACACGTCATCAGGCATCAAGTGCAGCGTGTCAAGGTGGCGGTGCCTCTTCGAGTCAAAGCCTTCTTCGAGCTGCAAAGGAGGGCAACGTGCGTGGTTGCGAAGATGCCCTCGGGAGCGGCGCAGATGTGAACTGGAAGGATGAGGCCCAGGGCCCAAACAACTGCAAAGGTCAAGCGTTCGCTTAAATCACGTTATAGCTCTGTGTGGAGCTTACTGGAGTTGTCGTTTACCAGCTCACCTAAGTATAATAACGTAGTAGTGACCCAGGGCAAAACCTATTCTTCAACATCTTGTCTAGGACCTCGGTCGGTTGGGGGGAAGCGGGGGGCCTCACCGCCACCACGCAATTGATCGATTCAGAGAGTCTTCTGAAGGAAGTGTGGAATTACGGTTGTGCAGTTTGTTGGTTGATGTTGCTTGACTTCTGTGCGTCGTGTACATCTACGCAGGTTTAGCTCGTCGACCTTGTGGTCGACCGGGCAGGATTCTGTTCTGCAAGTGCAACTGTCTGTTTACGCACGTTTAGGGTGTCGATCTAGCAGATTCAAGCACGACGGCACTTCCATCTGTTTTTACATAGCCGAGCGCGTCTATATACTTGGCTTTCAAGCGCACACGCAGCTGCATGTTGCGACTTTTGGGGCGCCCGTCCGGGGTTGCATGGGGTGCATTGGCATTTTGGGGCCGGCGCATGCTAACCAGTTTGCTGCATCTTTCACATGTGAAACTGTCAGCCTGTCAGATGTCAGCAGTAGGCTTTTGAGCACCCACTAGGTTGCAACAAGCTAAGTGGCCTGTGCCGGCCTGCAAATGCCAGTGCACCCAAATAGAAGTCTGGTTTGCATAATGATTCCAAACCTCGAGTGATTCGCGGTGCTCTGGTGCGTTTTTTCGCTTGATAACCGTTATTACTTATCACGGTTCTGAGAGGACTTCTTCGACTACACGGCCTTGCATTTGGCCGCGGCCGCGGGTCACGTTGAAGTTTGTCGCCTTCTTTTGAAGCGTGGGGCTGTGCCCTGGCTGGCAAGGAAACCTTAAAATGAGAGTGTTCTGAAGTTGATTGTGCTGAGGAAGTGGACCCTCGGTCAACCAGTGGCGAGACACCGCTGATCATGGCAGCCCGAGCACAGAAGTCTCTGGAGCTTTGCGATTTCCTGGTCAGTGCGGGAGCTGACTTGGAGGCCTTCGGTTGCCGTTTGTCTTTGGTTTGTGAGCCAAAGACCGGACAAGGCCAAGACGAACTACAAGAAGAACCCCAGGAGATTGCGGCATCACAAGCTCGAAGTGTCTGCGCCCGAGCCCAATCCAGGAGCGCAAAGGAGTATCTGGACGAGTACTACAAGGAGATGGGGGCACCCATCAACTGCGGGCTAGGAAATTCATGAGAATGCGAGATTTCAAAGCAAGTCTCGCCGGCTTTGCGCCCAACGGAAAAAGGGAAAGAAGGAATTCAGAGCGGTGTTGCAAGTCACATCTCGGAAACCTCGGCTCCCAAGGTGGAGCTCACTGCCAGCAGCCTTCGAATAGGCTTGGACATCACGTGCAAGTGTCTCCTGCAAAGCTCGGTCCTCTGCAGGCACGGTCGGGGACACAGATCCGATCATTGATGGCACCTTTGAGCGAAAGGCTGGCCAGCAGATCCTAACCGTCGAGCTTTCGAGGGAGTGCTTCAGGTGGATCCAAATGGTGAGAACTACTCCTGGAACCGCTCTCAGAAGTACAAAGCCGGTAAGAGAGCCCTTAGCTGCCTGAAATGATAAGCAATGACTCAGGTTTCTGATCCCAGAAGAGATTCCACCCGTGATGGAGCTAACGCTAGACAAGGTGCCTTTTGGGGGTGTCTTGTGTCAAGTCGACAGCACCGGCCACAGTTCGTCGCAGTCAATGGTTTTCTCCGGAGCCATTTCCGGGTACGTTTATCAAACCTGCGAAGCCCACTTCTGAGGGTGGCCCAGTCTGGGAGTTGGCCTGCGCCCAATGCCAGGATGCCGCTGAAGTCTACCAGACTTTCAGCTATGGAACGCTGCTTTGGCCGCGACTGTTCAACGACGACATTCCATTAGGCACAGCCCCCTTGCACCAGTTGCCAGTTACTTGAGCAAAGCCGACCCACAAGGAGAAGGTTTGTTCGAGGCGGATTTGACCGACATGCCGGCGTCTGAGTCATGCAAAAGGAATTCTCCATTGCCCGTGCTGAACTTCAAAAGCCCAGGCCTCCGAACTTGCTTCAGAAGTTTCAAGAAGAACAGGCAGGCTGCAGACATGACCACGCTCTTGGCTTTAGCCGACGCTGAAGACAGTGTTGCACTCATGGCAGGAGAGATCAGACCAGAGATCACGAGAGGAAAGGCAACGCAGGCAGATGATGACAGAGGTGCCGCTTTCCTGTCACATCTGCATCCGTCATGTAGCTGTCCTTGAGTCTAGGAGGAGGTCGCCGAGGAGACTGCCAGGCCAGCGGTTAAGAGATGTTAGGTTCGGTGATTGTCGTCCTGGCCACAACCAGGATGTGGAACGATGAGTTTGCCAGACACGGCATCCCGCATCGCGTGGATTCGACCGAGGACGCAGCCATAAATCTATCATAGGTCTATCCATGGCGAAGCTTGTTTATCCGGGATCTCTTGTGAATCGCTTGCAGGATCGGCGGCTCGAAAACTTCCAAAAGTGACACAAGAACAAAGTATCCGTCGTCAACGTGGAGCTGCCAAAACTGCAGACCAGCGCTGCACCTTGAATCCGGAGGCAAAGCGCCCCCGGGGAGTCCGCGAGTCCGTAGCCCCAGAGCCGGACGATCTCGTAGAAGGGAGGAAAACTGGCTATTCGGCCGGGCCAGTATGCCAGTATGGCGCAAGGATGCAGAAAAGAGAAAACCGTGTTCTGATTTGGGGCTCTCTTGTTCTTTGCTTCCCTAATTGTGCTCTGGCCAGATGAGGATTGCTGCCACGCAGGGACCCTCTGCAGGCAGAACGGTGAGAAGACTTTGGGGGTCAGAGAGCTTCGTTAGGGCTCGTGCGTGTTGATCGTGAGTCTACTTGGCCTCGGCGTTGCCAGTTCCCCGCTCGAAGAGGTCCATCAGCACAGCACAGCCGGGTATAGCGACTTGTGCAAGACAGGTACAACAAAGCGTTATTTGGCTCCCGTGATGTGCAATAGACGAGCGCGTCTTTTCACAGTCAGAGGAGTGGTTACATTCCGCACTCTTGTATCTGTCTATACAGATGAAGTGCATGACAGTGAAGGTTTAATTGGAGAAGTTTCCGGTTGCGAGCTTGTGTTCCAGAAACAGTCAGCAAGCCATGGGTTGTTTGATAGAGTGGAGTGTCAGCGTGTTCCGGGAAACACATCACACAAGTCTGGTAATGTCATTCAGATGAGCCGAACCCTTCAGGTCTATATAATATGCTGACTGCAGACTCATACCTGGTTCTGGCCTTCGGGTAGCCCGAACATGCCCGTACTAGCCCCACAGTATCTGAAGCTTACTTTTACAGAGGAATCGGCAATGGTGAGCATTGCCTGGAGTTGAGCACATGGGATGTGCCATGGAGCTCTGCTTGCAGCAGCAGTGGCGGCTATCAAGCCCTCGAGGTTCACTCTGCCCAAGGCGCGATCTGAGAAGCTTAGCTATCGAGTCGAGACTTTTCGATGCTTGACGCTCCGAGCATTCACACTCCAGGCCGCTGCAAAGATGCAGCGGGTGCGGTCGCTGGCCTCGGCGCCACGCGAGAAGAAAAACCAGCCGAAGGCCGCGCGGGCTTCGGCGAAGTTCGACTTCGCGGCGGTGTCCTGGTCTCCCCGCACGGCGCCGATGGCGCACAGCCTCCCAGAGCCAGGTCGGGCTTGTGTCGCGCTCCATTGCAGGCTAGTACCGAAGCAGTGCAGTGCTAAAGGGAGCACCAGCCCCAGCTGCAGCATCGGGGAAAGTAAGGACTCGCGGTTAAACCAACTCCGAAGGCTCTCGCGGAGGCATCGTGTTGAGTTGACTGTGGTTCAGCAGGTTCGGAGAGCACATCGAGCGGTACCGAAAGCCCAAGGAGGAGAAATCGATTTCTGGCGGAGCACTCAGCGAATCCTGGAGCCTCAGAGTTGAGCCCGAGCTGCCATGGAGCGTCTTTGTTTCGATGCTGCAGGTATCAGAACAGGAAATCTCCTTCTCGGTTGTTATCGCTGGGCTTGCGAGGCAACTTTCGCCCGCTTGTAATCAACTATGCGCTTTTGGCTGTCGTAGTAGGGGTCTTCAGGCAAGGGCGGCCGTATGCCGCAGCAAATTTCTTGGAGGTGGGAAGTGATGGGCAAGAAAACGAGCAATGCTTGGCAATGCTGGTAATCACACTAAAACGGTTAAGATTCATATGGGACTTCAGCTCTGAACCGCAGGCCATGGTGACGAATGGCCTGTCGCCAAATGTCGTTGTCTTCAACGGTGCGCGCAGAAGCTGTTGCAGTCAACACCTAATGCCAGCCCTTTCCGCCTCTCGATGTCAGCTGTCATTGCGGCGTTCGCTGGACATGCGGATGTGCCTGAAGCAGTGAATTGGTTCCGTCTGCAGCCTAATCGTTTGAGTCGTACCTCTCTTTGCCGTCTGCCGGTCGGTGTTCTGCCTGTCGGGGTTCTCGCATCGCGAGGAAAGATGGAAGACCAGGCGGGGTGCTTGTTTTCTGGATGGTGCTCTTGTGCCTGAAAGCATCCTGAAAGCACGGTGCCAAGGGCCTGAAGCCAAACGTCGTGACACTTACCTCCGTCATCGATGCTTGTGCCAAGGCCGCGTCCAGATGTGCTGCAAAGGTGGTCTTTGTTCTGTCCTGCGAGGCTGGTAAAGCAGATGAGGCGGTGAGGCATGCAACATCCTGCGGCTGCAGCTCACGTCTTGGCTTGAGAGTGCAGGTGGCTCCACGAAATCGAGGAGAGGGGTTTGCAGCCCAACCGGGTGCGCTTTCCAGCTTTCATCGTGGCGTTGTCTAAGAGTACCTCTCAGACTCCGAAGCCAGTGACGACGGAAGACTTCGATCACAGTGAGCAGCAAGGGCGAGGGCCAATCCGTGCGTTGAGCTCCTGGCGAGGTATCCTACAACGCCGTCATCAACGCCTTCGCAAGGCCTGGCCAGCCTGCAATCCTGCGATGTCCTGCAGTCATTGCAGTCCGGTTTGAGAACCACAGTCATGTAATGTCATGTAAGTCATAGGAGTGCTGGCTTGTCCGCAGGCGAGGTGACGTCTCTGGTGCCTTGCACTGGCTGGAGCGGATGCAGCCTGCAGTGGAGCCCGACAAGGCGGGATGTGAGGGCCACCTTGTCGGTGCCACTTGCACATCTGCAGATGCAGGTCTCGTACAACTCAGTGATTCACAGCTGCGCCCTCTCCAAGGATCCCAGTGCGGGTGAGGTCGGAGCATGGTCCCTTCTCCTGCCGAGTTTGGCCCTGGGCCCCGGGGCTTGGAAGGTGGCTGAGAGCGTCTTCAAGCGCATGAGGCCGTGCGAACATGTGCGAACTACATGGCCTCGCTTCCTTCACAGCATGGCAAAATCCCGAAATCCCGGCCAGGTTGAACAACATGTGGCCGACTTCAGCAACGCTGAATGCTCTCGCACGCGCTGTTGGCACAGATCGCAGGACCGCGCGTAAGCGGCACAGGCGACTTCTTTATTCATGGAGCTTGACCGGGGTGTTTTGGAGACTCAAGCTGCGTTGCATTTCTCTTGCAGCAACTATAGATGACTGTAGATCATACTATGGTACCGCCGTGGTGGCCCCAAGATAAAGTTCGATTTCCACGAACCTCCGCCTCAAGCTACAAAAAGCTCTTCAGGCCGTGTGACCCGGAAATTACGGAGTTTAAACACTCAGAAGCGAATCAAAGACGACGTGTCTGCTTTCTCCAAAACGTTGCGAGTTCCCAGGCAGGTCATGACATCCTTACTTGGGGAGGTTTGTAATGAGACTTGAAATTGAGATGTTCGAGTAGAAAGTGTGCAACGAGAGGTAAGGCAACTGTAGAAAGCATTCGGATTAGCGCACGACGCAGCAATGATTTCAATGGATCACTAAGCCTCCAAGCCAGGAATATCCTTTGTGCAGAGCTGGGCATTGACGGGGAGGCATCGTTGATGCGATCAACTTGCCCAATTCGTCAAGAAGGTGGCTTAGGGAATCGATCCCGACTGAGGCAGTACCAAGCCAACGCGCGAAGCATCGCACAGCCAGCTCGCCAGGGGTTGCAAGGGCATTCTGCGTCTGTTCTGTCGTTCCGATTTGCTGTCTTGTGTTGTCTTACGGATTTCGTTAGGCTCGTAGAGGACAGCTGCGGGCATGCCCGGAAGAGACCGTGTGTTGATGGCATCATCCGTCATCGCATGTGACAGGTCAGGCCTCTTGCTGATCTTGCTCGTCTTAAAGACAGGCAATAGGAAAGCACGGCCTCTTCGACCTTCACTCGCTGCAAAAGATCGCTGCAAATTGTTGTCGCTGGACTTATGCAAGGCGTTGAAGCACTGGGCTTCGTCTTCAAATCCTGCCAGCATACGTGACCCGATTTCAGCAGCAGCTAAATGCAAAGATGATCAGCAATCTTGACCATATGCCTTACATGCCAAATACTCATCTCCCCCGGAAGGAAGTCAATGTTGTCTCACGGTAGAAGCAGCAGCTTTCCCTGTCATGACTGGTTTGGTTGCTCGTTTGTGCGTGTCTCGTGCTGTCCACCTTTGATGAGCTAGATCACAGACGCTCAATTCATCAAATGGTCCTCGGAACTCCGTCACCATGGGGGTTGCCACTTCGAACCTACCAGGCACCATTCTGCCTTGCTTGCTCCGCAGCTTGGCGTAGCATACCACGTTCGACCTGGCTTGTGGCAGGGCCATGGTTCTTCCCAGACAGCGTGCAGATTGTGGTTGTGCCCGGTGCTTTCAACCTGCAGTGACATGGATCAGTCGACAGCAAGTCACGATTCAAGCTGACTGTCAGGTTAAATGATGCACGCAACATCGCACTACTGCAGGGCGAGGCAGACACCCCTTGAGGGCCGTAGCTCGAGATCGTGTGCTTCACTGGGGCACTTACACAGACTTATTGCAAGTCGTGGAGGAGCTTAGTGCCCTCATCCAAGTTGAGCCTGACGACCAGCTGCATCACTTGACGAGGCAGCAAGACTTGCCTCCACATGAGGGCAGAATCTTTAGGACTTGCTGCTCCAGTCCAGGGAAAGCCCAGCAAGTTTGCAAAGGGCCCAGTGGGTACCGGCGATGATCTGCTTTGTGCTCGAAGAGTAATTCAACTTTCTCAGGTCAGTGAGGCCGAATACGATCTTGGTGGTGAAATTCCACGCCATTGTGCAGGGCTTGCAGGAGCCTGACTACCAAGCACACCCAGCGGTTCAATTCAAGCGTTGCCATGAAACATCTCACCAAGTTGACGCGTGCTTCCAGGACACAGCAAGATGCCTAGGCGATGTCGTGCTACCTCTGAACCACGTTGCCCGCGTGCACGGAGCCGAGTGGAGGCAAAGCAGCTCCATTTCCAGCAGCATATGCAGAGAGTCAGGTGCGCGGGAAGTCTGTACCAAGTGTGGCTGCCGTTGCAGCCTGCTTTGTGACGGCCTCAAGGTATTGGCACGTTGAGCCGTGGGTCTAGTCAGGTCAGCATTGCTGGAACCCGATTGACTGAGCAACAGTTCTCTGTGAAGGTCCTGTGTGCAGGAGGAGGACTACATCGACAACTTTGATAAGGCCGCCTGGGTGACAGTCTGGTCAGAGATTCCCATGCTGCATAGCCCAGAAGAATTACCCACATCGTGACGAATCCGACTGCACGCCATTTTTGAAAGAGTGCTTCCTGCCTCAGGCGGTGTGGAAGGCAGCAAGAGATCCTCGAAAGCCAATGGTCCGCTTCCTTCAGATGTGCTGTTCTGTTTGCGCTCTGCCGTTGCCCTCTGAATCTGATGTGTTGCAGGTGTGTCTCAGCCTCTACGCTGGAAGCATTCCGCAAGCCGGCGACGCAGTTTTGTAACCACCTGCTGGTAAACCCCGTCTCGGATCTTGAGTCTTTCTTGACTCCAGGCTAGCAAAGACTATTTGTTCAATGCTTCAGCCAGCGAAAAGGCCTGCCATGTTGAAATGTCCGAAAACTTGCAGGATGATCAATGCCGTGTCTCGAGACTGGCGCTGCAAGCATCGAAATCTGGAACAAAGCTTCTTAGAAATAGTCGGATGCCACTCTCTCCGCAACAAACCGGCAGCTTGTAAGTGGGCATTTCTGACGAGACGAGCTAATACTGATCTTTGAAGCTGGTCGCACCTTTTAATGAATTTCGGCTTGTCGCTACAAGATGTCGCCGAATTCGGCGAGAATCTGTCAAAAGCTGAGGCCGTGGTCTTGGCGCACGTTTCGTTTGTCTCGTTTGTCGTTCGCCAAAGAAGTGCGTCAATGCCAATTCCAGATGAACCTCGACAATAACGGATAAGAGTGCCGCTGGTTGAATGCCAATGCCACACTGTGCAGCTTGCAAGTGAGCGTTCATGGTGTTGCTGATCCGTGGAAGTTGGGCAGTGTCGAAAAGAGCTTCATGCTGCTGAGAGTAGCATCTGAAGGACGGTTGGATGAACAGGTACAGAAGCGAACTTGTGCCAGGTTAAAATATGATCGAACTCTGTAATCTGTTGGTGTCGGATTGCCTTCAGGCAGACCGCTTTCTTGGACTGCTGCAGCTTGAGCCTTGGGAAACTCATGGCGAGCTGTTTGTTGTCAGTGTCAGCCGTGCAGGTCTCACACACAGCACATGCGGCTGCTGCAGGCATCGGATCGCGTTGGGAGATGTGTGCCGGCGTGAAGCGCAACTGTAAGGCTTTGTACAGAGAAGTCCGCAGCAACCAGGCTGGCCGGAAAGAGTAAGATTCCAAAAGCCTCCACATGGACGCATGTCAATGTGCCTCTTGAGGCGGCCCAGCTTGCGAAAGCCTCGGCTCTACAAAGCTCTTTCTCGCAAGATGGGCTCTGGAATCTGAGGACTTGTCTCGCTCGAAAGATGGGCTGGCAGACTCCTGGCCCTCGGAGCTGAAATCTCAGGACTGTCGAGGCCTCTTCTGACCTCTAGGATGGGTAAAGCTGCGACATCAGGTTTCGGCGAGTTGAGGCGAACTTTGGGCAGGCAGCGTGCCGTGTCTTTCTTGCTCTCGCTATTCGTGGATGCTCGCTCTCTCGCTGACAGGCCGCTCCTGATCCGTCTGGACCAGCCGAGGTGAACGCCTTATTGCGATATGTTTGTTTCCTTAGAACCTGTAGCTCTTTATCACGCGCTTCGATGTGTTGCTTGCAAGGCGCGCGGGGACGGCGAAGACGCCAGGCGCTTATCGCTGCTGAGATTTGCTACAGAACCGCATGTTGCCGCCTTCTAATTCAAGGATATTCCTTGGGTTTAGTCATCCAGAGACACCGCAATATTCCAGACAGCGCCCAGCTGCACTTTTTTTTTGCAGCAGGGCGACCTGCTTGCTGAAGACAGTGGCATGGCTGAGGTAGCCCGCGATGAGACCAAGGAGACTTGGGTCCCTTTGTGTGGTTCAGCTTGGTTTCGTTGCATGAATCTCAGCGAAGCAGCCGCCTACATCGCCTTTAGGCTGCGCCTGTAGCGTCTTGTTGCTGTCGCTCTTCTTGTTGTTGTTGTGGTTGTGGTCGTGGTCGTGGTCGTGGTGGTGGTCGTGGTGGTGGTAGTGGTTGTGGCTGTTGTTGTGTTTGTGTTCCTGGTTGTGGTTGTCGTTGTGGCTGCTGTTGTTGTTTTGTTTTTGTTGTCGTTGTGGTTGTTGTTGTGGTTGTTGTGGTTGTTGTTGTTGTTCTCCTATTATCGGTGAGGTAG